GAAAGGCTGACTTTGACAGATTTCCTTGTTTATTTTAATTACAGGCAGTCTTCAACTTACGACAGCAATTGGGACAAGAGACAAGAATTTTCCTCACTAGACTATGTAGTTGTAAAGCATGACCACATTGCTTAACGGCAACAATCCCTGCAGTCTGGGTTGCCATCATTAACTGAATCCCACAGTCATTAAGGGAGGCAACTTCCTGCCAGGTACTCACAACTGAGAAGTCAACTGGGGAAACTGGCAGGAAATTGCACATTCAAGGCCCACAGGCAGGTGGAGGAATAAGGGAGGGTGCAAGGGGATGGTGTGCAAGAGGTGTGGAAAGTATGAGCCAGGGAAGATTGGAGGTGTGTGTGTAAGGGTGCGGTGGGGAAGGATTCTTGCAGAAGCACTGCATGAATCAGAGGGCTAGGGAAAGTACCCAGGACTGCAAGCTAGCACAGGAAGTACCAGGCAGGATAAGGAAGGTGTGTGAGAAGCACTGTGTGGATGAGGAGTTGGGGAGGGTGTGTGAGAGGCATGATGCATGCATGGGTATGTGTGTAAGAGGTACTGTGCAGGTCAGGGAGGGATTGTGGGGGCTAAGTAACCAGTATGGTGCAAACGCGAGAGTCTGGGGATGATGTGCAGGTGGGGGAGACTTACCTCAGAGAAGACGTCAGCAGGGAAGGTGACAAATGGCAATCACTGACATGATTACTGGGTGCTTGGCAACCAATTTCTAAGTGTGAATGCCAAACAGTCAGATCACAAGCACATGATCATAGGAGAGCTGGGATGGCTGGAACTCTGAGGACTGTTCGTAATGACCATTCAGCCTGTTGTAACTTGGAATGGTTGCTGATGCATGGTTGTAGGTCGATGACTACCTGTACACTGTCAGAAGTCCTTGCTTAATGACTGCCCTATCAGGCAACCATAGTAGGCTATGACAAGTTTTCATGTATTTCCTCTGCTACCAATTTTTAGCAATAATATGAGAGGCTCAACAGAGCTTGCAGTTACATATCCCTGCTGTTAACTGTAAAGAATGGATGGCATCTGGATCATAATCAACACACACAGTAGAAAGATACATTTATAAGACACAGATGATAAACTGTTCTACATGCCAGAAGAGGACTGGAAATGGTACTACAGTACTTGTCACTCTCCCTTTTATTTTAATATTTTAGTAATATATTGCTACCAAAAATAAAGAAACAGCTGGACTTCTCTTCACACGAAAAGTTGCTTACTTGAAACTACTGCACACATTTTTTTAAATTAAACTCAAGCATTTTTAGAAGAAAATTGTGTCTAAATATATGCTTCCTATTTTGGAATTATGTTATTCCACCTTTCAGCAACAATTCAAGTCATTTTCAATTCTGGACACAGAAGGTTCTCTGTTCTCTTCAGAACTATGCTCTCAGCATGATCTACAGTTTTTTTGTCAGGCACAAGCAATCAGAAGTATTCGTGGATCGCCCAAACAGATACTTCATTGTTGATCACCTATATTACAAGATTCTAACCAGATTGTCTGCCTTCACCTAAGATATAACAAATATAGATTTATAGGTTTGATGCCAAATGTTTTCTTCCCCGAATGGATTCTAAACTGGAATGTTTCTTTACTCTCCCTTTACTTCACCACATTTTTCCTCACACTGATATGCTAGAAAACTCAATGCTTGCTGTTTGCAATTACTTCTTCCCCACCCCCACCAAAAAAATCCAATTAGAGAGTCATTGGTTAATAATGCTAATTGGAACTGGAATTTTCATCGTTAAAGTGATGCAGCTATAAAGCGTGCCATCATGTGATTGCACTTGTTTTAATGATGGCAATTTCAGTGATCCCCAGCTACCATTGTTAAGTGAGTACTGGGTCATTAAACAAGGAATTCAAGAGTTTATGACTTCAAACTTCCTGTCAGCTTCCCCATTGACTTTTATTTATTTGGGAAGCAAGCAGGGAAGTTTGCAAATCATGAACATGTGATCGCAAGGGCATTGCACCAGCCAGAACTTTGATGACCAGTCATATCCACCATTCGTTCAGCTTCTTATAACTTAAAACATTCAATGTAAAGATCCATTCAACCAAAAGAACCTAAATACTTCAGCTCTACTGTAACACACTGTTAACTTCCTGGTGCGAATATACAACAAGGGAAAAATAAAAGTAAATAGAAGGCTTTATCTCTATGTCTGTCAATGACATTGCCCTATGTCTGTAGTCCAGAGGCATACACATTCATCAAACACTTACTTGATAGCATATACCAGTGATGGCTAACCTTTTTGCCATCGCGTGCCAGGAGGGGGGGGCGGGGAGGGTCGCGCGTGCACGTGCCCATGCGCATGTGTGCGCAACCCCCTTCCCCCCCCGCTCCTGGCACATGATGGCCTGATAGGCCCGTTTTTCTTTCTTACCTGGTTCCAGATCCTCTCTGTGTATCTGGGAATGGCGAAAACAGCCTTTCCCACTCCCTTGGAGGCCCTACAGAGGCTGAAAAGGCCCATTTCCCAACTCCCGGTGGGACAGGAAGTGACATTTTTTGCTGTCCCCAGCCTCCAGAACCTCTCTAGGAGACTGTAGGAGCCTCTCTAGGAGTCTCTGGAGGCTGGGGACAAGAAAAAACGTCACTTCCTGTCCCACCGGGAGTGGGGAAATGGGCCCTTTGAGCCTCCTTAGGGCCTTCAAGGCAGTGGGAAAGGCTGTTTTCGCCGTTCCCAGATACACAGAGAGGATCTGGAGCCAGGTAAGAAAGAAAAACGGGCCTTTCCCCACCCCCAGGCCCTCCAGAGGCAGGAAACAGCCTGTTTCCCTACTTCTGGTGGGCCCAGAAGGCCCGAAAATCAGCTGGCTGGCACGCGCATGCGCCCCAGAGCTGAGCTGGCGTGCCCACTAATATGGCTCCGGGTGCCACCTGTGGCACGCGTGCCATAGGTTCGCCATCACGGGCATATACTTTCAGTATAAACTCCTGGAATTAAGGTAATTTTAGCATTACAAGGGTGTCATAATGATACATACATCCTAGGGAAGGCCTATTTATGTGGCTGCTAATATCAATTGTGCATGCAGCTTTACTATGACTACCAGCTACTATTTTAAAAACCTATATCCCTACACCACCTGAACATTTGTGTTTTCATTTGTGTGCAAATATATGCCATTTCCTCTAAATCTATCATTGCAACACATAAAATATTATATGAATTATCATACTACTCATTAGAAGTACATTTCAGTACAATAAGTCTAATCATCAACTCTCTCTATAGAGAATGATGCAATGTCTTTTTGACTTCAAACTGTAATATATTACCAGAATTTAGTTTTGTTTTTAAATCCTATGTCGTTAAATTAAATCAATAATATAAAATTATATTTGTTCATGTACTAAATATTATCTTCCAAAAAATGCTATAAACATTTCTTTAGAATGCATACTTTTTCATTTATCTCTTAAAAATGCTTTTGACATTAACGTATTTCATTTTCTGAAGTTTAAGTTTATAAATTGCTTCACTTTCTTAAACAAAATTCAGCATACATTTCGTCTATGCTTTTATATTAGTAGTAAAATACATCTTATTTTTGTTTTTAAGACCACAAATCTCTTGTATTCTCTTATCTGAGGATAGGCCTCAGTTTTGTATTTATATTACCACTCATCTCCCTCACTATATTCAACAAAATTTCTAAGTATGTGTGTGAATATTCATATGTAGAATTATATATAGAAATTTTTCTTGAAACATTTATCTTTGGATAGATAATCGAATGCAGCAAGGTTCCATACCCACCATCCATTTGCATTGGCCATACTAATTTAAATAATGATATTTTATCATTCATTGGATTAATGAAGCTCATAATGATGCTTTTAATTTGTAGAAATTAATTAATAATAGAATTAATAGAAAGGCAAGGTAATCCACTGAACAAATACATAAATAATAAAATAAATAAATAATATAATAAAATTAAATTAAATTAAAAACAACTAAATATCTGGAGGGCACCAGTTGCCTATCCCTGTTTCATAACATTTAACAAAAATTAGGATGCAAATAATCTTTGTGTAATTCAAAATTAAAGCTCAAAATATAATTTTAACAGTATAGAGTGCTTAAGTATTTCAATGCTATTGTAGAACTTCTGAGAGTAGCTGGAGAAATATTCATCAGTGTGGATCTGAAAACGATACTTCACAAAAAGTGTTGCCACAAAGAAACCAACCACATTTGAAATATTAAGGCACTCTTTATTTTATTTTATTTTTTAATTTGTTTTCTATTGTGTGACTTCCATTTTATTGCTTTAGAAATATTTATCTTTTAATGTTTTAATGCTGTAAGCCACCCAGAGTTGTTTGGATAAGAGATGGGTGGCAAATAAATTTAAACAATAAAGCTTTGCAAAGCTCAACCACAGAATTTGAACCCTGTCCTCCCCTATTACCTTTGTATGCCAAAAACACTTCGCTGGAACTACCACTAAAGTGAAGGGGTTATGCACATGAACACATGTGAAGAAGCTAGAAACAATTTTCCAACAACCACATAAACTTTGTAAAGGTCTTGGCTGCTTTAGTACTTTGAAAAGTAAGATTCTGGCTAATGTGCTCCACATGGACCTTTTTTAATGCTTTGGACTACTCTATTCATCAGTGAGAATTTAAAAATGGGTTGCAGCTTTTTATGACTTACCTTTGAACAGCATTCCAAGCACAGGAATGAGGTGAAATGTACATATTTTACAGCTGACTGAGTCACAGCCTTCTAAGTTATTAATATCCTTAGCTGAGTTGGAAGAAACATAAATTATGAACTCTAAGAATTAAAGAGTTAAGATCCACTTCATGAAGAAAGAAATTGGATGGAAATAAAGCAATGCCACAAGAAAAAAAAATGATGCACAAGTTTCAATGTGTTATCCAGAAATAATAAAAATGTGGATAACAAGTTTATATGAAAGGACAGAAAAAGATTCCTACCTTTAAACCGACTGCTATAAGATCTGTAACAACACTGTGTGAAAACAAATGGGAGAAAATGGAAAAGTTAGAAAAGCAGTTATTGTACAGGCAATGATAAATAAAGCTAAAGGAAGAAAAAATATCATAAGAATGAAATGAGTTATGGAGTGTTTTTGCAAAAGAAATGGAACAGTTTAGTAACACACAATATGAAAAAGAGAGGCTTAGATAGAGTAATCAGATAAAACATTGTACAACTGTTGTTAAAGGGATTCCTATTTTTCAGACATACGCAAGACAAAAAGCCTTTCTAATTTACCTGCCAAGCACACACACAGATAAAATATGCCATACTTTTTTGGAAAAAAGTCTCTACATTCACATATAAAGAATTAGAAGAACTAAACACTAGTAATCTAATGAATTATGAAAATAAGATTGCACATCATAGTTTCAAGGATGGTCCCATTTACTAGATAGAAAAGGTATAACTTCTTTGTGTTATCTGTATGTTGAATTATTATCAGAATATGTATCTTAAAAGCTATAGTAGATATAAACAATGGGAAAGAGATAGTAATACAGTAATACTCTTTTAGGGCGAATGTTTTCATAAAAATAACAAATTAAGAGCAATGTCATACAATCTACTTTTACAAGGAGCAAGGCAGCCCCCAATACATCCAAGCTCAGTCTGAGAAATATATTTCAGCAGAAATCAAAAACTATGTCAATGCTGGCTGGAGTTGTTATTCCATTCCTCTTTTGGGAGTTGAGAAAAGACTGGATTATATTAAGCTAAACAATTTACGTATGTTAACTATCATTATAAGTGCAATTATTTCTGAAATAATTATGACTGGTTTTCTTACATCCAGATATAACTAACTTAAAAGAGAGGCAACAGGTTTAACAATATGCTTCTATAAATAAAATTAACTATAGTCAATACTAGTACTTTCAGACATTCTTTAGTTAGAATATCATTATCTGAAGCTGAAAGCCTAACACTTGAGTTGCTGAAATATGATCCAATATCAAAAAACTAAATTCCTTCTATTAGTCATAGATATAATATAAATCACCATAATAATGCAGTGCTACTACTGAGACTGCTAAACAAGACATTTAAGAGGATTATCTCTTCCCAGTAAGCATTACCTGGACAAGTAATTTCAATTAGGATTCCATAAATTTTTATGCAATCTCTTTCTTAAAATCACTGACAAAATAACTATGCTTTATTGGATAAAAATGAACATTCCTGAACAGGTATCATCAAACTGTGGTGGTCTTCATGCTTCAATTATTTCTTTCATAATCCCTAGCTATTAGCCATTCTGTCAGAAACTCATGAGACTTTGTCAACAAAGAAATCAATTGAAAAAAAATTCCATGGTCTACATAAATTGAAGCAAACTTAATACAGCATCTCAACAATATACTTATTAATTCAGGAGAGTCTGTACATAGCCTCGTAACAAGCTTAGATAAATCGTAACAAATGAATACCAAATACTCTAGTGCAGTGATGGCTAACTTTTTTGCAATCGGGTGCCAAAAGCAGGGGGAGTGTGGGGGGTCGCGGGTGCATGTGCCCACATCCATAATTCAATGCGCCCCGCCCTCCCGCGCATGCGCACGTGACCCCCCCACACTTCCCCCTGCTTTTGGCACGCAATTGCACGGTGGGCCCAGTAGGCCCATTTTTCCCCCTCCCCAGGCTCCAGAGGCTTTCTAGGAGCCTGGGGAGGGCGAAAACAGCCTTCCCCATCCTCCCCCAGAGGCCTTCCAGAGGACGGAAACAGCCAGTTTCCCGACTTCTGGTAGGACCGGAAGGCCTGAAAATCAGTTGGCTGGTACGCGCATGCACGCTGGAGCTGAGCTAGGGCAACACTCGCGTGCCCACCAATATGGCTCCATGTGCCACCTGTGGCACCCGTGCCATAGGTTCGCCATCACGGCTCTAGTGTATACAATATAGTAACAAAATTCAGGCTTGAATGGAAAGGAGGAATTAAAACATAAAAGTTGCTGTGTAAGAAGAGTATTACACGTAGTTTAAATCTAATAATCAGAATTGAGCCAAACATTTCTGTTGCTAAGCAAGAAAGTTGTTAAGTGAATTTTGCCCCATTTTATGACCTTTCTTGCCACAGTTGTTAAGTAAATCATTGTAGTTGTTCAGTGAATCTGGTTCCCCATTCACTTTGCTTGTCAGAAGGTCTCAAAAATGATCATATGACCCCAGCACTGCAAGTGTCATAAATATATGCCATTTGTCAAGTATCCAAGTTTTGATCAATTGATCTTGGGGATGCTGCAATAGTCGTGTGTGTGAAAAATGGTCATAGGTCACTTTTTTCAGTGCCATAGTAGCTTCAAATGGTCACTTAATGAATGATTGTTAAGTCAAGGACATAAATTTTCAATTTGCTCTTGCTACCCAAAATTGAAGGACTTAATATACATACATATATAAAGCAAGAAGTTCATATGACAAGACAGGCATTTCTATCATCAAAATTGAAGAAAAGGTCACAGTTATACAAGCACTCAGAATGTTCTTTTTTATGTTATGTAAAAATAAAAATATAAGCAAGAATATTAATAATACAACACTGTATTTTAACAGAATCAGGAAATACAGATATTTAAACATGATAATGAAACTAAAATGAAAAAAATAATAATCCATGTAATATTAAATATTTACTGTGTGACTATACTTATCAGAAATGTCTAAACATGCTGCAATAATTGTCAGAAATTTGATCATTTGTCCAGAGTCAGAACTAGAAATTAATGAATGTACTGTATAAGTGTAAAGTTATGACTACATAACCAACTATCAAATAAAATTTTGTTCTTCTGATATTGCTATTTAAGACTTGTACAAGGATAGAAGCAGCTAAATTGTCCAAGTTAAAGTATTCAACTGTCAGAAATTAAAGTGTAACAAAAGCCAGATATTTAATTCTGAATCTCCATCACTTACATTTGAAAAGTTTTAAGTGTGGACTTTGGAGGAAGAACAGACGTTGTAGGAAAACAGTGTACAACGGCAAAAAGGCTTCAAACCAGAACATGCCACTAAATCATCCATAGCCAGGCTCTATACTACAACCCAATTTGTTCTGATCCCCTTGACACAGATGTTTGACTAACAGAATCAAAAGAAGCGTTCATAAGAGTAAACCCATTCAATGAGATCAGTAGACAAATCAATAGAGCTATATCAATTTCAGGGACGACCTATTAAACGACAGACCACAGAAAAGTGAACCAAACACCACTGCTTGTCACCTGCAGCTTACAGCTGAAGCCACTCCAACATTATTAATAAGCTACATCTCACACTGTACAAATGACATTGCGCTTTCTCAGGTGGCACTACTCAACAGCTACTCAACTCCCAAGCAACAAAAAAACCCAGGTCAATGGTGCCAATGAGGAAACCAGACCCTGCAATAAACCCAAACCCTACGGATGAGTACCTTTGCATGCTCTTCCTCCAATATATACCATCATTTGCCAGTCATGCCTCTCTGAATTCTATATTGGACAAATCAGGAATTGTTGTGTAAAATAATTAATGGATACAAGTTTGATATCAGGATTTAAAACAAGAACAAATATCGGAGCATTTCAACCTTTCAAAATACTGTATACTACAAAAGTATTCTACAAAATACTTTGAAGAATCAGCTTTGGATATATGGGACTTTAACACCAGCATGAGGGGAAAATCGATGAATTTGCGTACATAAACATGTTTTAGGCAAACTCAGGAGGTCTTAAGAAAGTGGATTTTTAAACACAATTTAACAACAGTTAATTGATAAGGTATTTATAATCTGTCTCATGTGCATTTGCATAACCAACTTGTCTTTCTCTCTCTCCTCACCCCAATTCAAATCTGACATCAGTCTAGCTATTCCATGCATCTGATGAAGTGACTAGCCATTCATGAAAACTCATGCCTTTTAGTAAAGCCAGAAAAAACTGTGTAATTTTAAATTATTACTGGGTTAACAAAGTCATACAGTAAGCAGAACAGATATACAAATATATTCACCACTTTTGGTTATACAAACTAAAGTGTTTAATTCTCTCTCACTCTAACATCTCAAAGGTGAACTGAGAAGAATACAGCTGGGAAACTTCAGTCCATGCAACACAGAAGCCTTTGGGAAAGGAGATAAACTGTAATATTTGTATTATGCTTGTTCTTTTTAAAAGTCCATTTTGTCATTCAACATTTGCAGTATCCCATTTTCCTACATTTTATTAATGTCAACGATTGTGGATTTCCAAAAGCATCCACTGAGTAAAATTATATTTCTCAACAAATATTTATTATTTCACAGAAACTGCATGGCATATTTTGGCCATCAAGTTTTAAAGAAATAATTTTAAACATTTTCAGGAAACTTGTAATTTTATAATTGTAAATTATAAACTTATAATATAAACTTATAAATACTTAGGAGCTATTTGTACTACAGAGTCATTTTAATGGCATATGCATTCATATTCATGCTATCGTATTATTATTTATACAGGTTTTCCTATCCTGGCAACCATCTTGACACACTAAACAGTTTCATCATGCCTAACTAATGGTCATATTTGTTGGAGGATTCCACATTATATTGGAGAAATGTAAATTTAAAGTACGACTATAGTATAGACTTGTCAGAACTTGCTTACTTAGGGCCTCATTTTCACAAATTTTAAAAGCAGGTTACTCCTGTTCAGTAGACTCTTTAAAGATGGCTATAGCCATGGAATTAATTATCCATTATTGCCAAAAGGCTATTTTCATAATTTTTTAAAAAAATCATATTATTAGCCTTTTGAAACTCAGCTGGATTCATGCAGCTACATGCATGCAGTAGGAATAGAAACTGCTACAAATTCTGCAGTACTAAATGCATCCTATTCAAATTAGTAGCAGGAAAACAATCATATAATCAGATTATTCTGTCATGAAAGTTTTTACCAGTATGGTAGTGTGGACTTGCAGCTGTTAAGATGTATTTTAAGGCA